ATGATAAACTCTTTCTGTATGGAAATTCATTGCAACAAATTATCTAATTATACTATAATTAATGTTTTTTTAGTGCAACTTTTAACGGCAAAATTTCAAATTATTTATTGACCGTTAAATAATAATCCTTTCTATATAAGCATTCATTGTAACTTTTTGTTAATTACACTAAAATTAATGATCTTCTAATCTTCTCATGATCTGTAAATGAACGCAAAATAATTACATAATCAAATACTGATCGCTAACACAAAAATGCGCTTAAGTCCCTCGATCAATAACACGAGGACTTTTGTAATTTTTTTTCTCTTTCCATTTCTCGAGACTTACTTCTTAAAAACATCAATTCATCAGAAAGTTTTTTAAGAAGACTTTAAGAATGAGAATGAAAAGAGAAACTGGAGTGGCGAAAGAAAGCATCTGATCACGTTTATTTAGCTACAAAACCGGTTTCTTTTCCTTCATGCTCATCAGATGAACATTTTTTGTATTGCGTCATCTTTTGCGAAATTCATTTCACTGTTATTATGCTAGCTTCTTTCGGTTTCTTAATGGAACGAAAGCGAGAAAAATGAGAATTTTGAAGTTGACAAGTGAAATGTCTTCTTTGACTTCTGCGAACTTATCTTCTAGTTAATGAGATGTTTTGGATAAATGGAGGCTAAATGTCAGTTTTGATGGGGAATGGAAGAGACTCATTAGTGAAAAGGGAGAAGATGAAGAGTTTAGAAATTATTCTAAGGTTTTAAAAGTAATTGAATTGATTTTGTAAACATTTGAATGAGATCAGCCTTAGGTTCAATTAGAAGTATACAAATAAATTCTATAAGTTTGAAGTCGAAGAAAATTACCGATGAAATCACGATTGGACATTAGACTACAATCTCAGTTCCATTGAAAATGACGCTCTCGTTATTACGCTAATAATATTCATCACATTCATGCGTCAATTGTTTTCCCAAAAAATTCATTGTTAGTGACTCAAACGAAGTCAAATAAACACAAAATGTTCCAATTTTATGTGGGCACATAAAAGATTGATAAAGAATAATTTATTTACATTACTAATCCAAAACAAAGGAACTATTTTTTTGATCTGAAACAAACTCGACTGAAGCTTATCTCAATATATATTTTAAGTCTGCATTTTGTTATCGAAAATAGTAATTTCGTAGCTATAAAAATGCATTGAAATTAATTTTCATTTTGTTGTTTGAATCAACATTAATAAAAAAAAATGTATTAAAAATTAATTTTATAGACATTTTATTGGAAGAACGTTCTTGATGAGTTTAAGTATGATTTTAACATAGAATTAATATTTTTTATCAATTAAAAATAAAAATTCATCTTTGTAAATTTCTAAAATGCAATATATACTTCTTTTGAAACAGAATTACATCACAAATCGCATAAAATGTGCTTTGCTCACTTATTAGTAAGCTCATAATCTACTTTTGATCCAAATTCACTTTAAACTTAGCTCAAAATCAAACATTCAACATTCCAAGTGCAAAACTATCCTGCGAAAAATTAATTTTCGCTCTGAAAATTTTCCATTCACCGAATTTATCTAGAAATAATTAATTGACACATTAAATCTGCAAAACATCAGCAATAATCATGACTAATTACTTTAATTACTAGTGAATCGGCAAACTTTAATAATAACTACGTGAGTACTATAAAATAAAAATCTCTATCGCTAATTAAAGATTCACGATTCCGTGAAATTTTATATAAAACATTTTGATTTCTCTCATTTTCATCTCGTTACAATCGAAAGTCATTGTTGAATCATAAAGCTACATTTACAGTTAAATATAGAACAATGATGTCGTTCTCTGCAGGAGAACTTTTAATTATTCCTGTTCATAATTATTAAACATACACTTTTTCCTGCATTTAATGAACAAATGCGGTACTTAGTATCAAGGCTTAATGCTTGAGAATGGAAATAAAATGTATAATGAAATTGTCAGCACGTGATGCGAGATAGTGTGTTAGGTCAATGATTTATATTGTGCGAGATATTGTCATAATATTATTAATATTGCTCCTAAATGGGCTATAAAAGTACTTAGATTGTAAGCAAATTACACTAGATAATGAAATTGAATAAATAAAGACTGAAATATGGTTTGATCGTTTGTCAATTCTGCCATAATGGATCATTAAAGAGTTGCGTTAAGTTTTGCTGTAAAACGGAAATTCAAAATTCAAAAAGTTTGTTCAGTGTGCAATGAAATTTTTCTTGTTTGTTTTGATTGATTTATGATTAAAAAGTGCTAAACTAGTGTAATTATATAAATTGATACAAAATATTTAAAGTCAAGAACCTTAACTACATTCAAAAAAAAAAAAAAAAAAAAAAAAAAAAAAACCTTTACCTATTCAGATCAATTGTGATCCAGAGGTGCGCTAGGGCGATTCGCAGCTAATGAGAGTTTAACGAGTGAGGATGCGCCAAACCACTGCACTCAAACCTAGACCTACAATTTATAGTGGGATCCGAACCACTCCTTTGATGACATTTCTGTCTGTAGCCTACAAAAGAAGGCTGTGAGCATCATTTCCAGTACATATGATTCGAAAAAGAACAAGTGAAAAATTTCCCATACCCAGTCTCGAACCCATGATCGCTGTGTCGGTATTGCAATAATTAGGTACCGAAGTACTAAACCATTCCGCCACCGAGCCACTTCAGCTCACGAAACTACATTCAAAGAATCATCAAACTCGCCACAAAACAGCAGAAAAACATTATTTTTTAAAAATTGAAAAATTGATCATGATTTGTAAGTTCCAAATTAATTTAATTAAACAAATATTTGTGATAAATTATTGCACGATGTGAAAGAAGAAATAAATTAAAGGAAATCTGATTACTTAGAGGAAAATGCCAAGTGAGAAAATAACGAAAAAAAATTAAATTAAGACGATGAGAGTCGAAAACAAGCACATAAAATTTAAATGTGTGCCTTTGGGGCCGTTCACTTATTACGTTACGCAAAAAAACGACTTTTTTCACCTTCCCCCCCCCCCTCTTGTTACAATATGTTGCAACTCACAACCCCCCCCCCCCCCTTACGTTCATAATTTATTTTATCATTAAAAAGGTGGAAAATTTAAAAAAATGTTTTTGGTGTGAGTTTGTAAACAAATTTTTTTCGTGAATTCTTGACACCCCCCCCCCCCCCCCCCTATGTTACATTTTGTTACAATTTTTCAAACCCCCCTCCCCCCTAAAATGCGAACGTAATAAGTGAACGGCCCCTTTTCTTCTTAAATGAGAATTTATAAATCAAATAGTTGATGAAAATTGAAAACATATGGCCGAAATTGTATTATAAAGTAAGATGATTCAATCTGTTCTACAAAAATTGATACTATGTAAAATCATTTGTGACATAAGCGTTGGGTTTAGAGAATGCTTCAGCTTCTTGACTCGGCAAAGCTGAGGAATATTCTGTCGGCTGTTGTTTGATGTATAGTTTTGGTAGTTTGTTTGTTTTTGCTTGAAATTTCTGTCTGTGATATCAAGTACCTAGGACGAGTCAGCATCAACAAACCTTTCTAAATAGCACTTCGTGAAACAAAATTGATTTAAGCTAATGAAGCCAAATCCAAGCAATTCCAAAACTTTCGTTCATGTTCACCATTAAATTCGACTAGTAAAAGTTCATATTTTATGCATTCACAAGAAAATAAAAACGAAAAGATGAGGCAAACAACCGAGCAGCATTGAGATAATTTACATTATTTTTATTTCTTGCAAAGAGAAATCAAACCTAGGTCAAAACAAATCAATATCAAAACGATGATGAGCGAATCTGTAAGAGAGCAAAAACTTGTTCTTCCTTATCTTATCCATGACCATGAAAATACATTTTCATTTTACTTCCCTTTTTTCCTCTCGTTCTGTCATTACATAGGAAATTACATTTTATTTTCACAGCTCTTATGCAACTGTAATGTATGAATCGTAATGTAATTTGAGGCATTTATTGATTTTTGTTGTTTTTTGGGTCGTAAAGTTTTATTTGCAGACTGACTTTAGAGTGGGATTAGGAAATTTTATTTACAATTTGGGTGATTGTAAGGATGTTTTAGACTTTGATGTTGATTTTGTTTTACAATTACTAGAGTTACACTATTCCATATTCAAAAATAAAAACAAATCTAGTCAGGAAATTCAAATGACTAATCAAAAAATCGACAAACATTATCAGAAAAAGAAGTATTACAAAATATTATCAGTCTAATTGTAATATTAATCAAGTACATTTATCAGCTGGATAAAAAATAAGTTAACTTAAATCACTGAAGCAACAGACATTTCACGTTGTTATATGAAAGCAAACGAACCGTGAATGAAATGAAAAAACAAAATCATTTTTGCAAAACGAAATAACAATGATACATATAAGATATTAAAGGATAGGGCACTCGGAGCTAATAATAAAAGAACTTAGTTCAATGACCTTAAAGCATTTTTTAGGCCTAATGAGATAAAATATAAATTTTAAACCCAATCCTAACCCCTTTACCACTCCAATTACACAACTTAAATAGACAGCAAATTTTGAATTTTCTTAAAACTTTATTTTTATCCGAGCTACAATTTTTAAAAGAGAAATTTCCAAAGATATAAAAACCAAATTCAAACACGTTCAAACATGATTAAATTCCAGAAATTTCCGAAGTGCACACACATTGCTTAAAGCCATCAAAAAAAGAATAGAGAAGAATAGGAAAAACATACAAAATATGCTTTGTGGAAAATCAATAATTTTTTTTTCACTCTGTTAGCTGGGAAAATTTTCTGTCTTATCGGAATGAAAAGTTGAAAGTAAAGATTTATCCTTGAAATTGACTTTGATTGCTGAATTAAATTAGCCGCACAAGCAATTTTTCCAATTTTCTTTTTCATTAAATAATTTAAAAAATTCAATTTTCGCAATAGAAAGTTTCAAAATTTGAAAGTTAATTAAACTTACACAGAGTCCAACGTGGCTCCAAAAAGAAATCTTTTTTTGTCTTGCTGTTTCTTTGTGACTTTATTTTTTCTTTGTTTAAATTCTATTTGATGATTTTAGTCATCTGCATCCTGAAGCTTCGTGTAAAAACCCATTTTTAATTCACTCATCAGAAATTTTCCATTTTTTTAATTTCTCATTTTTTTCACTTATTTTATTGCACAAAATAAAATTTTTTCACTCAAAAAATGAACTTTAATAGCAAAATTAAAATGTTTTATGATCGGAATGAAAGTAAGAACTAAGATTCAGTGAGAATCCACTCGATTTATAGTCTGTAAACGAAACGAAAAAATTATTAAAGCTTCACCGTACACAACTTGATTCACTGAAAAGTCAAGAGTAAATGAAGAATTGTGAAAAAATAAAATTGTTTGGAACCAGCTGATGCTTTTTTTTTCTACCCACACATACACAGGCAATGTTATGTACAAGTGAAGCTAGTAAGAAAGACACAATGGGTTAGTGACAATGTGTGTATTTTGATTTGTTTTCGAACTGACCTATCCTCTCGTGAAAATGCTTTAGATGATGATGTGCTGTGATGGATGAGTTGGTTGAGATTGGAAGCACTTTTTTAAGGAGTTTTGGCTATTTTGTTTATGATTCAATGATTCTGGTTAGATTTTTCACTAGCAGTCCACATGTATCTATCTTCTTTCAGTCAATAACGCAACTAGCCGTAAATCTTATTTTTATATGTTTTCCAATATTCGAGTTATCTTCAAGCTATAATCTCATATTTTAAGCTACCATTAGAATTTCCAATTAAGCTAGTTTACTCAACAACCCCTCCATCTACAGTTTATTACCGAAAATTGTGTAATAAAATCAAAAATTTTACGATTCCAACGGATTTTTGAATACAATAAAGATCGATATACAACGTGTCTAGTGACTATACGCACAGAAGGGGAATAAAAGAAGATTCTAGATGCGGTTGTGTGTGTGTGTGTGTGTGTGTGTGTGTGTGTGTGTGTGTGTGTGTGTGTGTGTGTTTGTGTCTATATACTTGAAACCAAAAAAAACAAAATTTAATAAAATGATGCGTAATTAATGTGAAACGGTTTTCAAGGAGTTGCTACCTACATTTGGTATAAAGCTACAAAAGAACTAACAAATGATCTTGCTTTAAGAGTTTTTAATGTCTCGAATTACTAAAGAAATTTTATAATTTTTAAAAATATTGCGTAGCGAATAAAGAAACTGATTGTAAATCATTTACCATTTTTAAGCCCGACATATCTTGCCATCAAATTGCAAAACACACTGCACGTGCTCAACGAAATAGTTTAAACGGTTATCAAGTTGCCAAACCTTTTCTGATTCCCTTATTTGCTTTACATTTATTTCGTCAATTTGTATCTGAATTTTCCTATCAATTTCTACCTTCATTCTTATCAATTTTACAAGTAATTTCAAACCTAATTTCATTGACATTCTCTTATCACGAAATTTCCCCTAATTGATAACACAACAAAGTCAGTCAGTCAGTCAATCATTGAACGTAAATAAACACATAATCTCATTTTGTCGTTAAAGTGTATTAAACAATATAAACAATAACGTTCTCATCTTCACTTGTATTTGTATGTCACGTTTTTTTATAGCTGAGCATTGAGACTGTGTATGCTGGACTAATATTGATGCAAAATGCTCAGCTGTGTAAAACTTTTTATTTACATTTTGTTTCTTCGACATGTTTTTCGTGAAGAAGATGCATTTTATGACATAATAATTGTAGAATTTTTGAGGGGCCTAGGTGAAGCCTAGTTGCATTTTAATGGATTTTCAGAAGAATATAAAAATTTGATTAAAAATTAAATTTTTAAAACTAAGGAATTGAAACTTTAATGCACCTGAAAAGTTCGTTACACTTAAAAAAACTTGTAGGAAGAAGATTCACCTTATTTAGTCATGCTATTCTCATTGTATCAGCTGATTTCGAAACTACATAATGCCAAGGGCTGACGACTGAATACCAAATGAATTCAGCTATAAAAATATAATAACACAATCGCATCAAGTCAAACCCTGCAAGATTCACATTCGAATTTTTCATTATAGTCTCCGAATTAGGCAAGACAAGACAAGTTTGATCGATAAATAAATAAAATAACATAATTTAATTAAAATTTATAGCATATCTTAGCCTTAATTCAACAATAATCTAAGTCGTAGTGGATAAGAACTTTTGAGAAGGTATCAAAATTTGTGAATTATCCAAAAATACACGTAATCTAAGTTTTTTTCGCTTCTAAAATATTCATTTGATTTAAATCAGCCTTGAGTTCATAAACTCAATGACTTTTAAATTGCGATCTTGTGATCATTTTTTTATGTTAATACATAACATAGTTTAAAGTAATCAAAAACCATTTTTGGATCACGGTTTTGTTGTTTTGTGTAAACAGCATAAAACTATTGATTATTATTCAACCCAAACAAAACCGTATGATAATTTTACTATCTTTGCGAAGCATAGACGCAAGAAAATAGTAAAGAAAGTGAAATTTTTTGCAATCTGTGATTATTATTATTAATACTACATAACATAACAGCAAGCCACAGTTTAGAAGACTAATTGAGTGAATTAAGTTTAAAACTAACAAAGGAATAACCAAGCTTCTTGCGTATGACACAGTAAACAAAGAGGACTTGCTTTGTGTCTGCTTTACTATCGTATCACTAAGTGATATAAAATAGATCAAACTCTTTGATTTATCACATTTTACTTACACGAAACATATACGATACATTTTGTATATTATGGACTGTGAGCTTAATAATAGAATAGGTAAGAAAATAAAATGAGATAAAAATTTCGTAAGACGATATTAGCATTATCGTCATACGATAAAATATTGTTGGGAAGTTACTGTCATTCAATTGTGAATAAAGCGTTTTTTCATGTTCAATGAGTGTTGAATAATCAGATTAGATGAGTTGTGTGGAGATAAATTTTTCATGTGGAATGGGTTTGCTCACCAGATTGATATGATTTAAAAGCAATTTAATGTTTGTATCCCATTGGCGACTTGATGAGTTTGTCCCGGGTGGACACAGCCAGTTAAAGTCCATTATTGGACAATCATTTAACAGACTTTTGACTTGCCGAAATTTATACGACATAAAGAACTAGACTTTAACTGGACATTCATGCTAATCAATCAAGTGCTCGAAACTCAAAAAAAGTTTTCCTTACTTTTTTGACCATATACTTCACAAGCGCTTGCAGAAATCACTTATATAAGGTCTACCAAAATTTGTATGAAAATTTTAAGTAAATATAAATGTTTCACTCGTAAGTGTTCGAGACTTAATGTTCACTAGAGACTTTTCATAAGTGTTAGTGTACTTTAATTTATTAATTACACTAATACAATAATAAAGTTTTACAAAAGAAAAAAAATGGAGAAAAAGACACGTGTTATTCATTTTATTTCGATTTTTTTGTAACTGGACATTAACTAGACATATGTGCAATTCCTATGTCCAGTTAAATGGAAAGCGCAAAATATGTCATTAGTCGTCCTTAAGTCTAGTTGCAAAGGCACGTCAATGGATACTTACTCGCCATGAACAGGCATGTCAATGGCAAGCTTTTAACTAGTACTTTGTCCACTCGGATGTGTACTTTAGGAAGGAGATTTAAAGCAATAGAATTTGAACTTAGCCCTGAGAGTCTATCGGTCGGCTGAGTTCCCCCTTAACATTAAATAGACCATCAAAATCTAGATTCCCAAAGTGCAGAAAATATTCCAACAGAATTAAAACAAGCATTCTATTCGCTTAACAATTTAATCTCAAAATTGCGTCAAATCTCAAACAGATGTTGTGACTAGGCTTTATTCTAGAATCATCCAATCAGATATTTAATCGATTCCGTATGCTAATAAGTCTTTACAGTCATGCCTCTTAGACATAGTGAGCATTTCCTCATTTCCGAACGCAATAAAACGCTAAAATGAGCAATCATAGATAAAACAATTATAGGATGACTGCCTGAACAACCACAATGCCAAACTTTATATTAAGCAAGCTCGTCAAGTGAATTGGCATTGTAAAAATTTTAACTGGAAACTTCGTATTACTTTAAAAACACGTTTCCCGCTTGTAATAATATGAAAAAAATGTACAACCTATCAGAATTTAGTCTATGGGAGCATGATCGTACGATATACTCACGAGACGTAAAAACAAAATTCCAACAACAACGAAGAAAAACAACAAAGAAATTTGTTAAACTTTATAGGAAGAAAAAAATAGTAATTTTTAACTCATTCCGCAGACAAATCTCGAGTCGAAATGACGTGTGATAACTTAAATGGGAAATTGGAGAATTTCGCAAATAACAATAATAATGTAACCGAGACAGCAAAACCTGAAAAATATCAGAATGGAACGATATCGAATGGAAAAGCAAAGTCATCGCATAAGGAAGTGATTGTTGATGAAGAGGAGCTAGAAACACGCAAATCGTTGATGATATTAGCAACGATCTTTGTTACAGCACTTCTTGCGATGTTTTACATATACAAGAATTTCCCACGACTGGATGAGTAAGTGATAATCTCAGAATAATATTCAGGATGACTCAATAATCATCTTTTGTATCTATTTTAGGTCTGAGAGAGCAAATTTAAAAATTCCACTTAATATTGAAGACGCAAAACTGCTCGGAAAAGTGTTGGATAGGTACAAAGATCAGTTCTACTTTGAAGTCATGACCGGGATCTGCTTACTTTATCTGTTGTAAGTAAATAATCTTATCTTAATGATAGCACTTGCAAGTGTTTTTGCTGTAAGCGACCGACTGAATTTTGGGGGATTTTCCAAATTAATTTTATACAATGCAAATTTCATGTCATGCTGCTCATCTTCGAAGATTTCCGTAAAAAAACCTCAAAACATATTTCTATGCGAATGGCGCGAAAATTATATTTTAACCTTGAACCGCTTTTTATATTTCGTCATCAGCATCACCTGATCGCTAGTCTTCATTTGTTGAACTTCACGTTTACATAAGATGCTGAGTTTGTGCAAATATTTATTTTTTAACTATAAATATTTATTTATGAATTATTTAAGATTGTTCATTATGAAGAGTATGAGCTGTTAATTTTAACGTCATGATTTTTGGGTCTTATTAACATTTGTTCATTGTAATGTAAAGTGGTAAATGACATGTTTTTGAAATAACTTAAATCAATAATCAGTGATGCACGATTGGAAGTAAAAATATTCAGAAAAATGTGCTTAAAAAATTTAAATATTAAGAATAGAACAGGTCAATTAGCACTTTATTCCGTTGATGTTTCACAGTTTTGGAAACAAATAAGCTTTTTGACAGTGACTTTTTGATATTTACTAAGAACCAATTGTGTTAATATTTAACCAGAAAAACCCAGACCAGATCAGATCACTGAAGTTTAAATAAATTTTGTCTGAAACTTCCATCCTGGAGCCATTTTTTCTTAGGACGAGAAAGTAGATATCAAGTCAAGGCTTAATACTTCTGATAACAGCAATAATTTCATGGCCAAATGATAAATTTCTTAAATCTTGAGTTTAATGGATTTTTAATATTTTGATAAATTTAGAAAAGTGCTAATCATTCTGGATCTGCATTTCCAAAGAATAATCAATCATATTCGGTTCTTAATTAGTGTTCAGAAAGATCAACTAGATTTTGATTTGGTATATCCCAAATTATATAATTTGTAAAAACGATCGGGATTTACCCATAATGAAAAGTTCCAATTCACAATAATATACAAAGTCACCCATAAAATGTACAATGACATTCGATTCAACCTTTTCTAATTGCTTTTTTTAAACACTTTTGTATTATTAACTATGACGTGTTCTACATGCATAATTAAAAACTCACTTCTTAATTTCATTTAATTTATTTTTAGCTTACAAACATTCGCTATACCTGGGAGTCTTTTTCTCTCAATCTTACTCGGATTTCTCTTCAAATTTCCAATCGCATTAACGCTCATCTGTGCATGTTCGGCACTTGGTGCAACACTTTGTTACCTATTATCATTGCTGCTGGGTCGACGACTTGTCAAACATTATTTCCCAAAACGTGCCGAACAATGGAGTCATCAAGTACAAAATCATAAAGACGATATGCTTAGTTACATTCTATTTCTGAGAATGACACCCCTCCTCCCAAATTGGTTTATTAATCTTGTTGCTCCTGTTATTGGTGTACCACTATTTCCATTTGTTGCTGGAACATTTGCTGGAGTTGCGCCGCCATCATTTATAGCAATTGAAGCTGGAAAGACCTTGTACAAAATGACAAATTCATCGCTTGCATTCTCATGGAATTCAATATTGATGCTTTTTGTTTTTTCAATGCTTGCACTTGCGCCAGTATTTTTCAAAAAATACTTTAAATCAAAAGTCGAGTAAGTAAGATACAGCACGGGAGTTGGGATAGAATGTAATATTAACGAATAAACTACTGATCAATAACACTTGCAATATTCAGTATTTACTTTTAATGTCATATGAGGAATGAAAGGATTTTCATTGTGGATCTATTGGCGAGTCAGTTGGAATCAAGAATTAGAATTTCAAACTTAAATGATATTTTAATAAAGAATCTGATTGAAATTACACAAATTGGATCTAAAGTGATTTCTAACATTCAACTTAACTGGATTATTTCTAGTCAAAACAGTTTGAGTTCTAATTAGTTGATTCTTTTGTCAACTGACACGCTTGTTCATTCACATGAAAGGAGAACTAAAGTGCGAAAAAAATGCCATTAAAAATTAGATATCAAGAAAAAAATGATATTAGATAAATTATCAGAAAATGAGTTCTGTGAAAATGATTATGTGGAAAGAAATTGTGGTTTAAGTTGGAAAGGAAAGTTAAGACAAAATGTGAATAAAATCAAACTTAAATTTTGTGAAAATCAAAATAAGTAAGCTAAATTAGCCATAAATGAGAACATTCTTGATGTTTAGTTTCCGGCTATCAAGAAAACTTTTGTCAAAGCTAATCTTTTGATGTTTAACCTGAATTTTATTCAAAATTTTCAACATCTTTACCAAATAATTAAGTTTAATAGAATATCAGATTATGTTATTCCTTCTTATTGTATCCTTGATTCTTAATCTTCCTTCATACCCACAAAAATTCTTTCCACTGTTTCAAATTGCCAAACCTCAAAAATCTATTAATAATTTTAATTATTATTCCAAATCCAGAATTTTTTAAAAAATCCCGTAGAAAACTACAATGACATGATAAGAAACAAATATTATTTATGGTAAAAAGCTTAAAAAGTAATTTATGGTTTCCTAAGTTATATAGCAGAAGAAAATCTCATGAAAGAATAAGAATATATTACAAATTTTATAATAATTTAAGAATTAAAGTTCAATTTAAGATTATTGAAAGAAAAATACAAACAAAAATAATTGTGGTGAGATTTTTTGGTAAAAAAAAACTCTAAATATGCTTTTATCCTGACACAATTGTTACCACATAGTCATTCAGGATCATAAATTGCGAGCCAAGCCTGGCATAAAATAATAAAAATATCTGAAAATCTCACCATAAAACCACATTAAAAGCTTGAAATGAAAAGTACCAAAAATTTAGTAAATTAAGGTTAAAAAACTGTAATTTAGTTTGAATCGAAACATATTTTAAATTTTGAATGGTCTGATAAGATTTTTGAGATTGACATACAACAAGTGCACATCTATATTAACAGATGGAGGGTTGTGATCAAACTTTAAGCAATGATCCTGATCTACTGTTATAATTTCTGAGTATGCAATTGTTGCCAAGTAATCACCACGACGCAGTTATGTAGATCAATCAAAATAGATCAAAAATGTGTCAAATGCGAACTAGGCAACATTCATCAATCTTTATATTGCCAAGAGCTGAGCGACAGAGATTTATTCCTAGTTGTTTATGTATGTTTCGCAAGCCAAAAGACTATGAGTTTAATTGAATCTTTAAGATCTTAAAAATGTCAAAATATTTTCGGTCATAAATTCTCACTGTGATGAGTGAATGACTCTTTGGAATCGCAATGTTGCTATTTAAAACTTAAAGCTCATGTTCTATAAATAAAATGTCAATAATCTTTTGTGCCATTTCATTTTATGCAACTATAAAATGTTATTATTGACAGTAAAGCTGTTTGCCAAATAAAACTCAAGATCCTTAGACTTCCATGCACTCAAATTTTATTACTTTAGTTTCAATCTCAAGAAGCTTTCAAATCATTCAAATAAAATCTAAATTAATAATGCTCACCACCAATTTTTATTGACCAAAACTTTTAGACGCAAATATGACGATAACATCGAAAATGTATGATAAAAAAATTAAATTCTACGAATTGGTGCAGCTATTCTTGTATATGTAGTGTTAAATTTATGTAACGATAAAAAATATAAACAAACTTTAAAAATGAATGTATATGAAGAGTTTTAGAGATGTAAAATGCTAGAGATGTCATGATGTAATAAACAGAATGTAGTTTATAAGATCAAAAGTCCTTTGTATGTAGTATAAATTAATGAACATATAAAAAAGATGAAAATGTGTGATATTAATAAAAAAAATGTTATTATGCAAATATAAAAACGCAGCTTTTTGTTAGGCAATCATGTTCCCATCCCCTGAACTTCTCTCGCAAATCAATCATTTCTCAAGAAATTTCCATCTTAAAATCCATCAAATTCACAACTTTCTCTTCAGTTCAGTGCGAGAATTTCATTTGTGCGATGAATTTAATAAATGCATTCATCATTCTCTATCTCACATCATATAATGTGAATGGGAAAGGTCTAACGATGATAACACGCGGTTGTATTGCAAATTACTTAAAACAAAATCAGCTGTTGAATGTGTCACTTAAAATTGGCCCGACTCCAAGTCCATCTTATTGTAACAATCTCGTAACGAAAGTTAAGAAAACTATCATAGAAAGTGCCATAAAATCACTTTTAAAATTACCTGAAGAATCTGTCGATGACATCACGACATACAAAGAATGTTTCCGTCAATTAATCAATCGAAACAATGTAACAGATGTTCTACTAAAAGACTTTATGTATAATCAGGAAGAAATAGGAAATCACAATGAAATGAGATTAATTACAAATGAGATTTTAAAGCTATTCGACTATTTGTGCTATCCGCAATGGCTACAAGATGATTTTAATCGTAAATTCACGACTTCATTTGCTGGCTACGAAAAAGAAACAAATCGTTTTTGTTTGGTGAATTTGCTACGTGAGAAGGAGGTCATTGATCGAGATTTTAATGTGAATTTTAAAGTGAATGATACATCGAGTCTCAAATGTCCAGAATACATCAATGAGGATATTTTAAGTTTGAAAACAGAAGCATTCGACTTAGTTTATCAGAATGAACTTTATCGTAATGAAGAAATTTGGGAATGTGCGGCTGAAGAGAGACTTAAAATTGGATATGTACGTTCGTACTATCGACTCATGGCTTATACATTCTTTCATGAAAATGACACTAGGAAGTCGGAAGAGCGCCAAAAGTTTTTGAATGTTTTACAATCTGCCAATGAAGTTGCGTCTAAATGCTTCAAAATTGGATTTGAAATTTTATGAAAGTTCTTATTGCTTACTGCTGTATAATTGATGTTGTGTGGATTGTTTGAATGTGCAAATAAATGATTAAAATTTTGTGATTTATATGACTTAAGCTGTTGTTTAAATTATATTTAAGGATATTAACCCTGCTTTTTCATTTTTCCTTTCCTACCTTTAGGATATTTAAAATACAATTGACTTTAAATTCAAATTAATTTTTAATTTTCAAATATCTATAAAGAAACAATGAACAAATTTCATTGAATTAGTGTGTTCACATTGTTTACTTTTAAACCTACTAGACTCCCGTAACATTTAGAAACAGATGCTCAAACTAGTCGTTTGTAGGTCGTGTTCTGGTTAACAAACTAAATTCAAAAGAGCTTAAAATGGAGAAAATATTGAAAAACTTTTGGAATGAAAAAGTGAGAATCTTTAATAAAATTGTACAATAATTTGGTTTTTTTTTATAATTTTTGTAATTTTTCCCATATTTTATAGTTTTGGTTGCCCGGAAATGTAACATGGAAAGATCTTGAACCAGGCATTAGAGACGGGATTATATACAGAAACTACAATGATTTGTTGTGGTCAATACCATTGACAATAATTATAATTGCATTGCGATTCTGTTGCATTAAGTAAAGGAGTTAATATCCTATTAGGTCCACTTTCCACGACTTTTTGTTTCTGATTTCAGGTATTGCTTTAAACCATTAGGTCAGATTTTGGAAGTAAAATCAAAGAAAGTGAAAATACCATTTGAGAATGCTGTGCTTGAGAAGATGTATAAAAAATGTAAAAAGCTCCCAACAAACTTGGTACTTAACAGAAAAAGTTTGAATTCCAATACCTTATTGCTTCATTAATTTTTATATCACTATACAGGAACTGGTAAGCTTGACAAAGCAAACTGATATAACAATAAGAGAAATTGAGAGATGGTGGAGGAAGAGAAGAGCGCATGATCGACCAACTTTAATGGACAAATTCGGAGAGAACTCCTGGCATTTCTCATTTTACACTCTTAACTTCATATTCGGCCTGTCAATTTTGTGGAATTCATCGTGGTTGTGGAACTTTATTGATATATTTCGTGACTTTCCACGACATGTAAGTTTTATGATTATAAAGAAGTTGGGAAGAATTATTTTAATAATTGCTTCATTTTTAGTCACTTGACAATGGTCTTTGGTGGTATTACAACATAACTCTAGCTTTTTATACATCACAATCAGTCTTTCATTTCTTCGAAACCCGTCGCAAAGACTTTTGGCAAATGTTCATTCATCACATCCTGACGATTACATTGCTAATAGTAAGTTGGACAGTCAATGCCGTTCGCAGTGGATCATTGATAGTTTTTGTTCATGATATCGCCGATGTCTTGTTGGAAGGCGGAAAATCATTGAACTGTACGAAGTACAACAAATTTGCATCAATTTTGTTTGCTGCGTTCATTCCTGTATGGATCATAACACGATTGGGAATTTTTTCGAGAATCGTTTACAGTGGAATTTTTGAGTTTCCAACAGTTTTTCCGATTTATCCACTTTATTATGTTTTAGCTATAATGAATGTGTTCCTTCTTACCATGCATATTGTATGGACTTATATGATCTTTCAAATAGCAATCAAACTGATTAGACATAATAAGTTCGAAGACGTACGGTCGAGCACAGAGGATGAAAGTGACAGTGATCCAGCAATTGAGCAGGTGCTTTAAAACGATAAGCTGATTGTAAATTAAGAATAAAAATAAATAATTCATTTTATTTTATTTTGGAATTGATTTTTTTTTTTGTTATTAATCAACATGTTATACCAATCATATTAAAGAAGCTTCTTATTTTATTATTACTTCTTTGAATAATTAACTCTTTGTAAAATCATTAAAATTTATTTGTTCTATCAATTTTTAAGCAGACTTTTTCAAAAATATTCAACAAATTCTTGTAAACGGATCAGATACCTGATTAATTGGTTACATCTACCAGTGGATTATTATTACAAATTTATTTTAATGCTAAAATAATCTTTCAACTAGGGACACATTCTTATCGATAGTGAATTATTTCAGACGTGAGAAATTAATAGTAATCATATGGAACGAATTTCAGAACTTTTTTGGAATGAAAAAGTAAGAACATTATTAAATCGATTGACATAAAGTCACTAAATTAACATTAATTGTAACATATTCAATAGTTTTGGTTGCCTGAAAATATCACCTGGAAGAGTATTGAACCAGGCATTAGAGACGGTATCATATACAGGAACTACAATGATTTGTTGTGGTCAATACCATTGGCGATTGTTATCACTGCATTGAGATTGTGTTGCATTAAGTAAGATATGACAGGACTTAACTTTTAGTAAACTACATCTGATTTGCTCTTAGATATCTCTTCAAACCTCTAGGATACGTTTTGAAAATAAAATCAAAGATAGTGAAAATACCATTTGAGAATGCTGCGCTTGAGAAGATGTATAGGAAATGTAAAAAGCTCACAACAAACTTGGTACTTAACAGAAAAAGTTTGAATTCTAAAACCTCATTAATTCTTATATCACTTAACAGGAACTGGTAAGCTTGACAAAGCAAACTGATATAACAATCAGAGAAATTGAGAGATGGTGGAGGAAGAGAAGAGCGCATGATCAACCAACTTCAATAGACAAATTTGGTGAGAACTGCTGGCACCTCTCATTTCATAGCTTTAATTTATTATTTGGAATATCAATTTTGTCGAATTCATCGTGGTTGTGGAACTTTATTGATATATTTCGTGACTTTCCACGACATGTAAGTTTTATGACTATAAAGAAGTTGGGAAGAATTATTTTAATAATTGCTTCATTTTTAGTCACTTGACAATGGTCTTTGGTGGTATTACAACATTACTCTAGCTTTTTATACATCACAATCAGTCTTTCATTTTTTCGAAACCCGTCGCAAAGACTTTTGGCAAATGTTTATTCATCACATCCTCGCAATTGCATTAATAATGGCAAGTTGGACTGTTAATGCAGTTCGCGGTGGATCATTAATTGCTTTTATTCATGAGATTGCTGATACCTTGTTGGAAGGAGCAAAGACTTCAAAAAACGCAGCATATGAAAAAGTTGCGTCATTCTTCTTTATCTCGTTTGCACTTTCATGGATCATCACACGATTATTTATGTTTTCAAGAATCATTTACTTTGGATTTGTTGAGGTTCCAAAGCTTTTCATGCCTTGTCCATTTTATTATGTTTTAGCTGCAATGAATGTGTTCCTTCTTATATTAAATATCCTATGGACTTTTTTGATCTTTAAATCTATTTTGAAAATAATGAAGGATAAACAATTTGAAGATATTAGGTCGTGCACAGAGGATGAAATTGTCAGCAGTTAATTAATCTATTACATTTCTTGGAACCGTCGATTTATCACGTGTTTGCTTAAATGTTCTTTTTTTCTTCTTCTTCAATGTCCTTTAATGTAGGTTTGAGTATTTAGTCAATTAAAATACACAGCTTATCTTGTAAAATTCTTCGTGACATTAAGTTTTTGTGTTGAATTCCAAAATTTTGAAAGCTTTCTTCCTCATTAATTATTAATGTTTTATTTGTTTTATTATTCAAAATGATTTTGAATTTTGTACAGCAACTTTGTGCTGAAAATTAAGAGTCACACTGTAAGTTCTTATCGCAATAGAATGAACATACTCAATCCGAATTATTGAGAGAGTTAGAACATCCAATCTTAATCTCATATCAATTCATAAACAAACCACAAAAATAATATTTAACAAATTCGTGTGAATAAAGCAGACAGCTTTAATTGCTGTTGAATTACTTACATTTACCATTTTTCTGTTTCGTATAACTCCATACAAATTTATTAAAAAAATACAAAAAAAAAATATAAGAAGCAGTTAACCAAAGTGGACTCAGTCGTTTATTTGTCGTGTACTGGTTAAGACGTGAAAATTAATAGTAATAACATCACATGGAGCAAGTGTTAGAAAAATATTGGAATGAGAAAGTGAGAATCTTTTCTAAATCGATTGACATAGTCGCAAAAAAAAATAATTTAAAATTTAAATCAATTATCACATATTTAATAGTTTTGGTTGCCCGAAAATATAACATGGAAAGATCTTGAGCCAGGCATTAGAGACGGGATTATATACAGGAATTATAATGATTTGTTGTGGTCAATACCATTGGCGATTGTTATCACTGCATTGAGATCGTGTTGCATTAAGTAAGATGTATTTCTTGTATTTAGACATGCGCAAGACAGACGAATTGTCTTTGAAAGTTGTTTTCTTTGCCCTATAGACAAGAAGTAAACATTGTGTTCGGGGCCCTTTACAAGATATTACATCATATGCTACATAATTTATGCTATGACCATTTAATTAAGCCTTTTCTGTTTAAATTTATCTTTTTTTTTTAGATATTTCTTCATACCTCTAGGTCGCTTTTTGCAAATTAAGTCTAAGAAAGTGAAAACACCATTTGAAAATGCTGTGCTCGAGAAGATGTTTAAAAAATGTCACAAGCTACCATCAGATATGGTAATTGACATAAATAGTTTTTTGATTATTTTGGTGCCTCACTTTCTTTCGGTGAGAAGTTTTTGGTCTTTGTGATTGCAAATATTTTAATACGGTTCACTAATCTTTACCGTAAGAGAGATTATTGTTGAGTTAAAAATAAAGCACTGAAGTGACATGTTTAAGTGGAATTAGAAACGACACGTGGTGACATTTTTAAGAGGAATTATGAAGAAAATCAGTATTGGAGATGGAATTAAGTTATTAAATTGTTTATTTAAGAGAAAAGTCTGTGAACAATTTATTAATTTTGTTATATTGGCAAGCAGTTCACACATTTCTTTTGCAGCAAAACAAAACTTTTCTCATATTCAAATCACGAATCACTTAATCAGTGTCTACTTAATCAACCAACTCATTCATTGTTGTCTTCGAATCGACGTGACTTCTTATCAATTTTTAAAAATCATTTTCTAATTTATTCAAAAAGAAACTTTTTTTATTTTAATGCGAAAAAAATGCACCATAATTCACAAAAGCTTTAGCAAATAAGAGATTTCGAATAATAGTTCAATAAATAATTTTAATGTCGTTTCATAGGAACTAGCGAATTTAAAGAAGCAAACTGACATATCGAAAAGAGAAATTGAGAGATGGTGGAGGAAGAGAAGAGCTCACGATCGACCGACTTCAAAAGACAAATTTGGTGAAAACTGCTGGCGCTTCTTGTTTTACAGTCTTAACTTTATATTCGGCCTGTCAATTTTATGGAATTCATCATGGATGTGGAACTTTATTGATATGTTCCGTGACTATCCAAGACATGTAAGTTTTATGACTTAAAGGAAGTCAAATAGATTTTTCTAATGATTGTATAATTTTCAGTCACTTGAAAATGGTCTTTGGTGGTATTACAACATTACTCTGGCATTCTATTCATCACAAACATTCCTTCACTTCTTCGAAACCCGCCGTAAAGATTTTTGGCAAATGTTCGTTCATCACATCCTCACAATCACATTAATAATGGCAAGTTGGACTGTTAATGGGCGATTCCATGAGTGAATTTTTTTTTCTCAACTCAATTTTTTGTAAATATTTCCTTAATTAACTTCATTTAACGCCATATTTAAGATTTATTTTATTTATTATTATGGTATTTATGTATTTTAGTGCATAATCTTTTAGTTAAATCTGTCTGACAAAAGATATTTTAAAAAAACCAAACTTAATCGGTCAACTTTACAAAAAATTTATTTTTAAATTTTTATCAATATTTCTTTGAATATCCATTGTTGTGTTACAAATCTATGATAAACACACGTGAAATCGCCTGTGCTTTATAACAATATCTTATTTGTATGTCTTACGACTGTAATTAAGGAGAAAATTGGGGAAAACACCACTTAATCGGTCAACTTTCAACCGATTATTGCAAAACATATTACATATTTTTGTCAAAATGCAGCATAATTAAGACGATTAAATGCTAATAACACATGAATTGATGAATAATAAGTCTTATTTAGTGAAAAGATATGTTGAAATATGTATATTTAAGCAGAAAAAGCTAAAAAAGTTTTTGAACAAAAAATTTTCAGTTCCATTTACCCATGGAATCGCCCTAATGCAGTTCGTGGTGGATCATTGATAGTTTTTGTTCATGATATCGCCGATATCTTGTTGGAAGGAGCAAAAGCATTAAAATATACAAAGTATGACAAATTGGCATCAGTTACCTTTGTAGCATTCACACTTGTATGGATCATAACACGATTGGGAATTTTCTCAAGAATCGTTCACTGTGGAATTTTTGAGTTTCCAACACTTTTCTCGCCATATCCAATTTACTATCTTTTAGCTATAATGAATGTGTTCCTTCTTACCTTACATATTGTGTGGACTTATATGATCTTTCAAATTGCAATTAAATTGATTACACATAATAAGTTTGAAGATGTAAGGTCAAGCACAGAAGATGAAAGTGTCAGTGATCATGCTAGTGATGCTAAGAATGGTGTTAAAATGAATGGAAATGGAGTGTCAGCAAATGGTCATGCTAAAAATGGAAGCGTTGTGCATTAAAAAGTTGGTTTGTGAACATTTTTGAATGCTTTTAATAAATTTATTTAAGTTTTACTGGACGAAAGCATTTAGAGGTTTTTAAATAAGATCTTATGCTTACATAGGAAAGGCCGAGCAATACATGAGAGAGAAATGATTTGATTTTTGGTTCAAATACTCGTTAGACTCACTAGAATGATTCTGAGCTTCAGAATCGATTAAAGATTAAATTCTTCAAGCAGCAGTGACCCTTTTAGCTATTCATGAACAAAAACAAGAATCATTATCAGCAAAAGGCATCAAAACATAATCTCCTAACAAAATATTTGATTTATTATTGACTTGATTGTACTTTACAATATCAAAGTAAATGCACGTGTATGCCTGATACCACAAATAATCCATTTTCCATTCCTTCATGCAGCAGTTATTCTCCTGTATAGTTTGGCTTTCTCTTCTCAGCAAATGCGGAGAGACCTTCAAGACGATCTTTTGTGTTGATGATTTGACTATAACAGTCCTCCTCGATGCAGCAACCAGAATTTAAATCAACCTGGATGCCTTTGCTTATTGCTCGCTTTGCCATTCTCTGAAATAAATCCATGAATGGTTAGCATGCCATAACAAGACCATAACACACTACTTACAACTCCAACAGGACCATTTGGTAAAATTTCTTCTGCCAACTTCATTGCTCTGTTAAAAGCTGCGTCACCATCGTCATTTTGAGGAACTGAATGGTTAACAATTCCCATTTTCAATGCATCATCTCCATTGAACACTCTTGCTGTGTAAATTAGTTCCTTTGCAAGTGATACATTAATTAATCGAGGAAGTCTTTGAGTTCCTCCTGCTCCAGGGATGATTGCTAATCTTGTTTCGACAAGACCCATTTTTGCAGAGCTTGAAGCAACTCTTAAGTCGCAGGAAAGTGCCAATTCAAGTCCTCCACCTAATGCAGCTCCTGTGATTTTTAAAATTTTAAGTAGTAATAAGGAACAAGTTTAAATTCTCTTACCATCCACAGCAGCAATCGTAGGCATTGGAAGGTTTTCAAACTTTGATGCCATCGACCTTAAAGAATTGACGAATCTATGAACATCAACAGGTGTCATTGTCTTTCTTTCCTTCAAATCAGCTCCAGCACAGAAAACTCCCTTTACCAAACTTCTTATGATAACTGCTCTAACATTCTTGTCAGTGCTTAAAATATCAGTAAATTCGTGTAATTTTGCAGCCATATGACGACTGAAAGAATTCTTCTCTTTCTGACGATTGAGCTCAATGACAGCAATTCCTTGTCGTTCATCTGTAAGGTAGCTTAGTCTAACTTCGTCATTTTTATCAATTTGTGCACAATAGTTGTTGCTAATGATTGATAAGCAACCTTTACGAAATTGTGTTGATTTTAGAGTAAGATTGAGGGATTTATTGAATGACAACATGTTGGTGATGTGCTCTGAGCTGTTGTGGATGTGATGATATTTGAAGGGTTAAAATTAAGATTATTGCGAACAACAACTTTTTGGCGACTGAACTGCAAATATCTTATCACAACACTAAGCTATGTTACTTATACATTTGACAAAATAGTTCTGAATTTCTGACGACCGTTAAAAATAATATGAACAATTTTAAAAATGAATAAAGTTTAAAAATCTTTAAATTAAAGTTTATTTAACACAAATCCTATCATATGTAATATTAAGTGTCATTACTATTGTGTATCACTGACAACCGAAAACGACATTAATGGCAATAAAATAACTCCTAAACCTGTTTGGATCCGTTGACTTATGACGTCCAGAAGGGAGGGGGGGGGGTCATAAATTCCTGGAAGTCCAATGTTCTTTTTTGAATCAAAACTTCCACTTTAAATTTTTCAAACCGTTGATGGGTTTTCGTTTTGTTAGTTATATTACAACTTTCGTCGTAAGCAGTCGATAGTCATGGCTGATAATTGCATTTTAATAACTGGTGCTGCTGGATTTATTGGATCACACTGTGTTGTAGCTTTAGCTGAAGGTGAATTGGATATTTTAAAGAATCAAAGCGAAATATTAATGTTTATGAACTTAACATTCAGCTGGCTATAATGTCATCGCAATGGAGAACTCAAAATCGACTAATAATCTTGCATTTCAACAAATCAATAAAATCTTAGGGTGGGAGGTAAAAACTTGTCGATGTGACTTGCTGAACTATGAAGAAATTGTTAAAATATTTGAAAGGTATAAAATAACAACTGTCATTCATCTAGCAGCAATGAAAGGAGTCAGTGAATCTATGAATTATCCAATCGAATGCTATCGAAAAAATTTGGTGTCTACGCTTAATTTACTCGAAGTCATGAGACTTTACGGTGTCAAAAACTTGATTTTTAGTAGCTCTTGTGCAATTTACGGAAATCAAGTTCAAATGCCAGTTGCAGAGACAGCACTTCCGCATTCAATCTCGAATGTTTATGGCAAATCAAAACTTTTTATTGAGAAAATTTTGAGTGACTTATCAAGATCCGATAAGGAATTTAAAATCACAATTTTACGTTACTTCAATCCAGTCGGTGCACATAGCTCTGGTTTGATTGGCGAAGATCCAAAGAGAAAGCAAATCAGTTTTTTAACATTGTTGGGTAAGGCAGCATTGGATAAAGAAATGAATTTGTCACTTTTTGGAAGCTCAAATATTCGAGATTTTGTGCATGTCATGGATGTTGGAGAAGCTCATGTTGCTGCTGTGAGCAATTTAGAAAGTGGTGATTCTTTCAAAGTGTTTAACATAGGATCTGGTATTGGAATTTCACTGCTTCAATTAATAAAAATTTTTGAGCATGTTAATTGCGTAAAGATCTCGTACACAATAAAAGATCGTCAAGAAAGCGAGATTGAGGCTATAATTGCAGATACAACGTTAGCAGAAACTGATTTAGGGTGGAAATCTAGAAAAACTGTGGAAGAAATGTGTACTGATTGCTGGAAATGGATGACATATAATGCAATAAATTTTTAACGGTATTTTAAATTCAAAATTTTGATGTAAGAACCTTGGAGCTGTTCACTTATTACGTAACGCGAAAAAATGACTTCTTAGACCCCCCCCCCCCCTTCGTAACAAAATTTGTATGAAAAAAAAATTTCCTTGTTTGAACCGTAACAAAATTTTAGACCCCCCCTCCCCCTAAAAGCGTTACGTAATAAGTGAATGGCCCCCTTATAAATGCTTCATTTTTGGTATTGCAAAAAAAAAACACAAATTAAGGATGCTCATGAATAAAATAAAAGGAACCCATATTCATGTCTTTAGTCAACTCATCATGAATCATTAAAGCAACCAACTTTTAATATCAACTGTCGCTTTAAATTTGAATTTGTAATATTTACATTTTTTTGAACCTTACAAAAGTTTTTGTTGACGTGAACAGAAAAGTGAAAGTAAATCATATTTTGCTTAATTCTTTTAATTGTATTATTTAACATAAACTAATTTAGGAACAAGATAATGGCTAGTGCTGATGAGATTCAGAAACAGATCGAGGAACTGCAAAACAAACTCGATTCATTGAAGAAAAATGCAAGACAAAAAATTGACAAGATGAGCAGTGAAGTTAAGGATAGCAATCCATATTCGCGTTTGATGGCACTTCAACGAATGGGAATTGTCAAAGAATATGAGAGAATTAGAACGAAATCAGTTGCTGTAGTTGGTGAGTTCAACATTACTCTGGATCTTTTACAAATTTCATAATACCATGGGCCGAATCGAAAATGAATTCTACGTCATCGGAGACCACTTTTTCTTATTTTTCATTAATTTTCTGCATTAAAGCATTTTATATATATTTTTAAATAGTCTTATAGAACTCGCCGAGACAAAGATTTTAATAACAAATTTAAGTATGCACAATGTGTAGTTCCTTCTGTACAGCCATTCAAATACCCTCCAATGACATAGAATTTTCGGGAATGGGTATTTTGAGTAGACAAGACCTCTCATATCTTTTTAATTTAAAGCTTAAACTTAAATATTTGCACCAATTTGTGCAAGTTCATCGAATTTGATGCAAACATGCTTAAAACTTTAAGTTGCCAATGATTAAAGGCCAGGAGTATGTTTTTTATGTTCCATTGTGTGTGGCAAAGCGTTAAAGTTAGGAATCGATGTGTATTAATAGGATTTTCAGATATTAGATTTTGACAAATATTCTCAAAAATGCGGGAAATTTTAGGAATTTTCAAATTTTTTTAAACCGTTGCTTTGAAATTCCTTTTATTTTTGACGCGGCCCCCATGTAACTTGTTGCAACTTGTTGCTTCTTTAGGTGTCGGTGGAGTTGGATCTGTTACAGCTGATATGCTTACAAGATGTGGAATTGGAAAATTGATATTATTTGATTACGATAAGGTAGAATTGGCAAATATGAACAGGCTGTTCTTTACGCCTGATCAAGCTGGTCTTTCAAAAGTCGATGCTGCTGCCAAAACATTGAATTTTATAAATCCAGACGTAACTATTCTCACAAATAATTACAACATTACGACAGTAGACTCATTCACTAAGTTCCTTGATGCAATTAAAACCGGTGGAATCGATGGACAGCCAGTTGATCTTGTTTTGAGTTGTGTAGATAATTTTGAGGCGCGAATGGCAATTAATGCAGGATGTAATGAACTTAATCTCAACTGGTTTGAATCTGGAGTCTCTGAGAATGCTGTATCTGGTCACATTCAATTTATTAAGCCTGGTGAGCTTGCTTGTTTCGGATGTGCGCCTCCACTTGTTGTTGCTGAGAATATAGACGAGAAAACATTAAAACGTGAAGGTGTTTGTGCTGCTAGTCTTCCTACAACTATGGGAATTGTTGCTGGCATGCTTGTTCAAAATACTCTCAAATATCTCCTTAATTTTGGAAATGTCTCTAATTATCTTGGATATAATGCATTAATCGATTTCTTCCCTCGAATGGATCTTCGTCCAAATCCACAATGTGATGATTCTTGGTGTCGTCAGCGACAAGTTGAATATCAAGCAAAACCAAAAGAAGAGAAGGAAACTGAGGTTGAGGAAGTACAGGAAGTCGTGCATGAAAATAATGATTGGGGAATTGAATTGATTAGCGAAGATAATAATGAAGAAATTAAGCCGAATGCACCGATGGCATCAAGTGGATTAAAACATGCTTTTGAAGCACCAGTAGCTTCACAGCAGTCTAATACAATAGCACCAACTGTTTCTGATGATGTCAGCCTTGAAGAACTTATGGAGCAAATGAAGTCGATGTAAAAACTGAATTGTAAGTTGAAATGAGTTACAACTAATTCATAAAGAGCCTCAAAAATTACAATTCCCAACTGATAAGATCAAACACTATGCTTAATATAACGCAGACATTTAATCAAAATAATTCCAATTTTTATTCCTTAATAAAGTTATAAGCAACAGCTGAATTCAATTTTAATTCTTCTCAAAGACATTTATTACATTGAATTTTCGGCTAATTAATAGACATTAGATACGTTTAAATCAGAACATATAATTAATTTAACGACATTAAGAATTTATTTCAGAATTGACACGTTTGATTCTTTAGTATGTAGAAAAGCTCTTAGTCAACTAGATTTAAGGCGACACTTAGTGAACAGAACAGTCAATATAAAGAAGCTTGAAAGAAATTATCAATCAAATGAAATGAACGAGCACGTTTGACTCGGAAAGGTTTTCTCAAAACAAATAATTTTCAAAAACAATTAACTTTTGGTTGGAAAAATTTGAGTAATGAGGTTTTATTAAACAAACGAATTTAAGACAGCAATGAACGACCATGATCGACTCAGCATAAAGCTAAACGTTTCAAGTGACGCCTCAAAAAATGGGGTCGTAAATCTCAGTTTCTTTTGGGCCATCATGAGTACCATAATGTAATCTTTATCAATATTATATGCTTCATCACAAATAGACTCAGAAGAGTCCATGATTTTTTGACTTCCATATGAAAAACTAGCGGCATAAATCAGAGCTGCAAATGCGTGCATAATTGGTGTTAAATTTTTCAAAAAGCTATCAGCAGTTATGATCACAAGTCCAAGTACAACATAAACAACTGTTCCAATGGTATATGTTGTAAAAATCATTGGCTTATAGATTAAATTAAGCCTGTTTGTTATGTCCATCAATTTTAGGTGGTAGATGACAAACTCGTCAATTTTCATGTCTTTAATTGAGCCACGAAGGATCTCAAAATGACCACTAATGTTGTGACAGAAATTGCTATAAACTGAAGCTGTGACAAACTGTTGGGAATAAAAATCATTCTCTACACAGAATCAGAACAATAAACAAGTTGCTGATGAATACTCACAGTTAAGAAACAAGTTAATATTATTTGGTAAATTTGTAGCAGATATATCAATTCATAAGCTGGCGAATCTTTTACATCGTAAAAGAATTCAGCTTTAAGTGGAACACCTCGAGATGGTTGGATGCCATAGAATAAATAATAAACTAAGTCAACTATCAAAGGCTTCATTATGTAAAACGTTGAAATTGCAATGACCAAAAATTTTATTGGAGTTGTGATTTTTACTGACTGCTTATTGGCTTTTGTCAGTATTTCTCTGGCATTTGGAAAATCCTTGTCTGTTGAAAATAAAATCAAACATTTCGTAAATAAAAACACAATCAATGTTCTTACAAAGACCATTGAATTCCTCAATTTCATCCATAAATCCGAAAATCTGTCCAGATCGTTTACAAAATACTGCATATTTTATCAACATAACGAGCACAGACGTACTCGGTGACAAGCTTTCAGCCATGTCAAGAAGGTCTTTTGCAGAGAGAATGTAAGAAGCCGAAACAAAAACACAGTAAAACATCGCTAGATTGTTCAAAAATTTTTGTACATCAGTGACATACTTCATGCGTTTTGTTGAATATTTTTCGATTCCCAAATATTTCAAAATTTCCTTTTCAAGTCGAAACACTTCCATTGTGACTTTTGAACCGTTTGTTTATAGCCGAGAATAAAAACTAAACTAAAATAAAAAATTACTGTTGCTTACGTTTAACCCTGCATTTTACTTAATTGTGGAGTTCCTATCGTCTAACTTAATTGATTAACTTCTTTTCTGAAAATTTCAACTTTTTCTTTATTTCTTCATTTTTGTTTGGACACAAATTTAATAAATACATCAAGAATGTATAATTAGAAACACGAAACTGACATAATTTTGGACAAAAAAGAGTAAAAATGTGTTTGAATGATTTAAAACACGAAACTAAAGGTCAGATAAATGCTCGGAATTCTTCTTTTGGTGATACTGATTAAGACATAAGCATTAACATTTAGAATTAAAGAAAGACAAGAAATTTTATGAAATGCACCTTGGTTCTAGATAATAATTAATTTATGAATGAATTTAAAAGAGTAATAAACGACCATGATCGACTCAACATGAAGCTAAAAGTTTCAAACGAAGCCTCAAAGAATGGAGTTGTGATTCTTAATTGCCTTTGAGCTGTCATGATGACCATTATGTAATCTTTATCAATACTATAAGCTTCCTCATAAATTGCCTCAGAAGAATCCAACATTTTTTGACTTCCAAATGAATGACAAGCCACATCAGTTAAAGCTCCAGAAATATGCAAAAATGGGACAACAAGTTCAAGAAACCCTTCAGCAGCTATCACGCTTAGGCCTAGGACAACAATAAGAGTTGTTGAAATGATGAAAAATTCAGTAAAAATCATAAAATTGTAGATTGAGTTGAGTCTATTAGTAATCCTGATTATCTTCAGATGATACTTTACGAATTGATCAATTTTCAGATCATTTATTGAGCCACGAAGGATTTCAAGATGAGCGCTAATATTGAGAGTCAATGAACTGAAGTTAACACACATAATGTACTGTTGAAAAAATAAGAATTAATGACTTTTCTATTGAAACTTAATTAGAAGTTATTTTTATACATACAACAATGGTTCCAATAAGGATTGTTGTATATGACTGAATACAAAAAGTCATCTGATATGCAGGTGATTGAGTCTCGTCGTAAAAAAATTTAGCCTTGAGTGGAACTCCACGAATTGGTTGCAATTCATAAAAGTAATAATAAATAAAGTCGGTACCCAAAGGTTTAACAATGTAAAACAAGGAAGCAAGAATACATCCCCATTTTAATGGATTTGTTATTTTCACTGTGAGTTCATTGGCTTTCGATATAATTTCATTAGCATTCTTAAGATCTTTGTCTGTGAAATTTGAAAAATTATCTCAAAAATATTTAAAATTCATGTCAAATTTCTTACATTCCTCGTTTAGCTCTTCAATGTCATCCATAATCTTGAAAATCTTTTCAGTTCTAACGCTGAAAGTCACAAATTTAATGATCATTACTAAACATGTAAAAGCTGGTCCCATACTTTGAGCTATTTCACGGATATCATTTGTTGATGATGCATATATAATTGCTGTCGATATGCAGAAAAGTATCGCAAAACAGTTCCAAATTTTTAATATATAAAAACATTTCTTCATTCGATCTGATTGAAATCTTTTGATTCCAATTAATTTATAAACAAACATTTGAGATTTAAAGACATCCATTTTAAAACTTTGATCTTCTTCTGATGAACTTTGGATGAAAACTAAACTTTCAAATGAAATATCTTTGTTAAATATTAGATCATCAGCATGCATTTATCTTTGAGAAATTTTAAACGATTAAATAATAATGCGCACATGCTTTTAAAAGATTTTTCTAGTATGAATTTTTTAAAAGCTCAATCAACTAGTTCGGGTCATGTCTTAATGATGATAAAATAATTGTTTTTCTTTAAATATGCATTTTTAAGCTTCAAAAAGGATAATTATATGTATTAAATAGGAGCTTCTTAATATTGTTTTTTGAAATTAAGTTTGTTCTTAGTTTTTATTTAAATTTGATAAAGTCTCTGCCAGTTCATACAATAATTCTTTTCATCCTTGAATATTGAATATCAGCTTCAAAAAAATTTATATAAAAAATGTTCCGATCCGGAATAAAATCTACTTAAGTACTAGTTGGAACTTACATTCTATTAAACAAACGAAGTAAGGACAGCAATGAACGACCATGATCGACTCAACATAAAACTATAAGTTTCAAATGAAACTTCAAAGAATTCGGTTGTGAAACCCAACCTTTTCTGAGCTATCATTAGCACCATTAAGTAGTCTTTGTCGATATTATAAATCCCGTCACAAATTGCGTCAGAAGAATCCATAACTTTTTGACTTCCATATGAAAAAACAGCAACATAAATTAGAGCTGCAGGAGCATGCATGATTGGTGTAACATTTTTTAGTAAATTTTCAGCAGTTATGACACTAAGTCCCAACACAACAAAAAGGACTGTTCCAAAGAAAAATGTTGCAAAGATCATTGGTTTGTAGATTGAATTAAGCTTGTTTGTTATGTCAATCAATTTTAAGTGATAGATAACAAATTCATCAATTTTCAAGTTGTTTATTGAGTCACGTATGATTTCAAAATGACCACTGATGTTGAAACAGAAATTGCTATAAATTGAAGCTGTTGCGAACTATTAGAAAAAAAGGAAATTAAGTTTAAATCAAAGTGTAATTCAAAAGACCGCGAGGAAGTCAATTAAGCATGTTTTTATGCGACTTAAAGACTTCGAAACACAGCCTCGCTCATAACTGGATCCTCTTGATAGGATTTGTGCAAGTAAGTGACTTTTTCTAATCGATGATCAAACTGGAGACCTGTTATAATATTAAAGATCTTAATTCTTACAATATAAGCGCAAACTATTGATGTCCCGTAAGTTTGAATCAAAAAAGTCAACTCATAAGCTGGCGATTGTGTCACATCGTAAAAGAATTTCGCCTTGAATGGAACTCCACGGGCTGTTGCAATGCCATAATAAAAATAATAAATGATATCAATAGTCAAAGGCTTCATTATGTAAAATATTGGCGTAACAATGCATCCCCATTTTAATGGCGTCGTCATTATTACTGACAATTTTTTGGATTCTGATAGAATTGCTAGTGCATTTTTGAGGTCCTTGTCTGTTGAAACGGAAAATTCTAAGAAAAATTAATTTCCAAAAAATATTAATTTTTTACAATTTTCGTTCAATTCCTCAATTTCGTCCATAGATGCAAAAATTTCTTCAGCTTTCCAGCAAAAAACTGCATATTTGATCAACATTATAAACGCAGTTGTTCCTGTTGCCATGCTTTCAGCTATATCGAGGATGTCTTTTGTGTCGAGAACATAAAAAGCTGACGTTAAAATGCAAAAAATCATGGCAAAATAGTTCAATAATTTTAATACATTTAAGATATATTTCATTCGTTTTGATGGATTTCTTTCGATTCCACAATATTTCAGAATTTTCTTTTCAAGATGAAAAACTTCCATTGTCAATTTTATGTTTCTTCGAAGAGCTTTGAACGAAAACTAAATTTTAAAAAAATGCTTTTCATAAGCTAGTAAGTCAATAAGTATGTATTAATTGACGTATTATGCATTTTTGAACAGACAACTTAAAAATAAACTTTGGCTTTGTGAATCACAAAGGATTAAAAATTAGCTTTAAAAATTGTGTTGGTTTGAATATTTTAGAACTGTAATTATTGATCAACCAAAAAAAAATAACCTTATTGAAAAAGGTAAAAAAAAGAAAATTTAATTAAGGATTTAATACATTTTCTTGTTGGTTAAACGCATTTGCGTGTGTGTAGATTGAGATTATCAAGCACAATAAACAATCATCAGGTGTTTTTGTTCAAACAACACAAAATCTTTCCGGAAGTAGACGTTTGATCTTTCGAACTCGGAAGTATGAGTGTAAACAGATGCATAACATTTATTTTAATTTTGCTTCATTTTTGCTTCAACTGGGTTTGAATTTTTTTCAGCCGTTAAAAAAAATTTACGGTTTCAGAACATACAGTTGACAATATCAAACAAGCTAGATCTAAGATCAAGTGCGAAGTGGGTTAAAATAATCCTTTTTTTATAAACTTTTAAGATTAACCACTCCAACCTATATGCTCGAAGTAGATCAAAGCCATAGAACATACTGATGAGCAAATGACACAACAATTTTATTCAAAAACAGTCTCATTCTCAAACCTCAAACTTCTTTTTTTAAAAAAACTTCCTATTTCATTCTTGAAACTTGAATAAACTCGTAAGCAACAGAATACAAAATAAATTTTAAATCCAATTTCAATAAAAATTTTATAAAATAAAATAAAATTTTCTTCCATAAAAGACTATAAAGAGCAGATAAAATTGAATTCAAATGCAATGAAAAAGAGCATGAAAGATGCAATTTAATCAAGGATGTTGTCATAAATCTCTTTATTCTCCCACACTCTTGCATGTATCATATGTCTCTGGATGGGAAATAGAATATTAATCTACAATGGAAGTGCAGGATGTGTATGTTGGGATGTCCTGAAATTTGGGATGAGATTTTTGATGAATTTAGTTGGGACGAAGCTTGAAATCATTGGATCAGGGATACTTGACCGAAAATCTATCTAGAACATATCAAAAATCTTCAAATTTTATTTGATCGGTTCCACATCCTCATTACTTATAAAAATAAAAAAACTCGGAAAATTACTCAAATGTCAAGGATATCTGAAAGAATTTTTGATTTTGAAGTCTGAAAAAGACAAAAGTAAAAATAGAATTTTTCATGAAAGTTTTTCATATCAGTTTTTATTCAATTTTTTGGTATATTGTGTGTCATCCAATTTCATCTTTTACTTAATTTTTCATTCATTTTTTGTCATTACAATATTTCTTCACTTCTTTAATTAATTTATTTACTTCATTGTGTTTTAAAATCTTATATCAATGAAATTTGAGTGTGTATTTGTGTGTATTTATATGTTTAGTCAGAAATTTAATTGGAATAAAGAGGAAATCTAGTGAAATTAAATTATAGCTGAACTGAATTTTTTTTTTTCAAAAAGTTGAAAGTTTTGTGCTCTTTTGACTATTTTGTTGCCCAATTTCGGCAAAATTTTAAATTTGAATAGACACAACAAGTCGAATAAATTTTTAATTTCTATTTTAATTAACATTCGAGCCTCCAAAACTTCAATCTTTTCAATTTATTTTTTTTTTTTCAATTTCATAAAAAATAAATTTTCACTTTGAAAAATGAAAAATGATCGAAATTTCCTCATATTCATTTCAATGCTCTTTATTATATTCTCTGCCTAGTTTTTATAAGTGTGCCTTAAATTCAATTTTAAAACTAATTTGTTTCAATAAAAAGTTTTTTTTTCATAATTTTTTTTCTTACATTTTTTGTTGTTAACATAAACATAGCTAATCTTAATAATTTATCATCACTAAGTTATTATAAATAAATAATAAAAGTATCGTAAAATTAATTAAATTTAAAACTTAAAAATAAAATAATTTTTTTGTGATTATCGAAGGATTTTTGGGGATCTTGGAAGGTTGCATGATTTGAAAAGTGAAATTTTCGAACTCAAATTCGAATTTACTTTCGAAAATTTAATTTTCAAAAATATTTTTTGAACTTTGTTTCGAAAACAGAATATTTTAAACTCATTTTTAAAATTTCACCAAATTACCACTTGCACCCCTCAAACCCATTAATACCTCCTTCGACAATCACATTTGAACGATAATAATTTCATCCTCATTTCTGTTTTTCCATTTTTTTTTTGTTAATTTTAACGTGCGTAAGTGTGTACATTTTTCTTAGTGGTCGCATAATCGTAAAAGTGTCCTATCCTCGTTAATTAAAATTTTTTTTTCAATTCGCCTTATATTTTTTTTGTCTCCATTTTTTTTTTTAAGTATTTTTATAAACTGAAATGTTTCCTTTTCATCTACTTACAGTTATTCATCAATTAATATCTTCCTTAATCAATTAATTATTTTTTATGCATTTTTCATCATTAATTAATTAGTTAATTTAATTCATTCATTAATTAAAATGTACAATTGAGTTCATTTATTCTTTTTTATTTTTCTTCATTTTTTTTTTGAATATTCAGCCTATGTGTGTTTATGTATGTTGATTTATCAGTATTTAATTACTTGATTAAAAGAGATTAATTTTGTGTGCCATGAAAAGGTTAAGGGATTGATGAAAAAATGAGATGAATTAGTCTCACATGTTGTTTGATTTAGCGATGATTTGATGAGAATGTTTTAATTTTTTTGAAGATAAGTTTGATTTTACAGAAATCTCTTGCCTGTCACAAATATTCATAAATTGATTGAATTCTTACGAAATCTTAGATGCTCAACTTTATGAAATAAAGAAAAGGCTTTGAAATGTTTCATAAATTCATTTTAATATTTCTTAATTGGAATTTGAGATTTAAAATTTAAAGAATTTTAGAATTTTTTTGACAATTTATATGGATTTTAACCGTAAGCTTTTAATAGAAATATGAATGAACATTAAAATTGCAGAAGTTTTAAAACTTGAATTTGGATTCGAATCCTTATAAATTAGTCAAATTATAGTTTTTGTAATTTCTAGATTTATTTTGGCAAATAAAAATCCAAAATGAATCCAAAAAGTCAAAAGCGACTCTTATAATGTAAATTCATCCACAGCACTTTCAAAACTCCCATAAAACTTTTCATGAAAAAAAGTTGTAGTAAGTGAATGAATTTTTGTGTATGTAAAAAAAAGAAAGCGAGCGAAAAAAACTAATGCCTCATTTTAGTTTAACATTTTTTGTCATTTATCTCACTAAAAAATGTTACACATTCATAATATAATATGCATGTACGTGTAGATTTCCTTTCCCATACATCCCGAGTTTGTTGTATTATTATATTTCATTAATCATCCTTCATAGCCGTTTATGGTTTTTATTGTTGACTTTAAGTTCTGTTTGGATAATGATAAAATTTTTGTTGACTTTAAAGAGTGATTTGAACGTTGCAAGGATGTGGTTTAAAATAAATTGTTGAATTTAGACAGCCACTTGATCGAAATAATAGTAAGTTTCAGAATTATTCTCTTACAATTTGGAATTTTAAACTTACAACCTAATATTTAAGGGGAATACAACATGATGGGAACAAGTTTTGATAAAAAGTTCTTACCAATTTTTCAAAATCATTTCCTACAAATTTCCCTATTAATTCCCACAGATTTTTCAATTGTTAAGAAATTCCAATCAAAATTTTTCCCAATCATGTTGTTTTCCCTTTGATAAGTTTAGATATCGGAGACCCAATAATGCTCAAACTATCTTAACAATCCAGCTAGACCACTTTACAAAGACAGTAAAAAGCTTTTCCTTAAATTTGATTTTTCATCTCAAACATTTTCCTTCTTTTATGAGACCTTCAACAAAAACCTTTATTACCTTTATTTCATATAAATATTCCTCGTCTTCTCTTCAATAATATTTATTTACATAGAATGAAAATGAATGGAAAATAAAATATAAGAAAAGAAAAACTTTTTCATATTATTTTACTTTTATCGATCTCATATCGAGCGAATGCAAAATGAGCGAACAAAAAATAATTTTTTTCCAGAGATTCTTCTTTTTCTTCGATATCGCAATGTGGAATAAATAGTGTGCCAATAAATTATTGGTTTTTATTATTCAGCTTGTTTTTATCGCAAAAATTACGAAATAAAATAAAATTCATTCACCGTTGTTCATATTTGTGTGTGTATGTGTAAGTATATGTGTATTTGTGTATGTTCCTTTATTCACAATTATGTAAATACAGTAATGATTCTCATGCGTTTCCCTTTCCAATCTGTAATCGATGTTGTTATTACGATACAGTAATATTAATTTAAGGATTGGACACTTTATTTTCATTTTGTAGGCAAGGTCTTTCAAGAAGATCGGAATCAATAAAGGGTTGTCCGCTTGTAATGTCCAGGGTGGTAATTAGAACTTTTTTAAGGTGGTGACGGTTAGTATTTTTTGTATGAACTTAAAAATTCTATTAAACTTTGACAATGTCATAATCGAGTACCAACTCATCTCCAAAAAATTTTGTCTTTTGTCTGTCAAATTCAAATTGCATTAATCTTCGATCTTTTGGATTTTAAATGAAATGACCGAATGTAATAAAATTCTGAATGTTATTTGTTACTTATTTACATAAGCAAATTGCGAATTGACTGAATAGATTTCCAATTGGATAGAACTGTTGTTATTGAATTTTGTAAATGGAATTTTATTAGCTCTATCCACAAGGAGAAATCAATGTCTGTAGGGAATTTAATGGAACAAGTTTGTTTTCATCTGGGAAATGAAAGAGATGTACATGAGGCTATTGAATTGAATTTAAGGTTGACTTGTCTATTGCTTTAAATAAAATCACCAAAGTAACCGCAAAGGAAAGTCTTATTGAAGTTCAAATTCGTTTGAAAG